GGGGTGATGTGTCTTATAAGTACATTCCCACCTCCATCTAGCACAAGGCCTTTTGGGAGTTCACTGGCTTTGGAGTCATGAGAACTCCGAAGTTAAGCGAGTTGGGGCTAGAGCAATCCCAGGATGGGTGACCTACTGGGAAGCTGCTCGTAAGTTCCTAGAAACAAAATCGTGAGGGCAGAGAGGGGCCCCAAAGCGTTCAATATCGTGCTACGGCGGAGCCGATCTCGGGATGTGACATCCTGGGACGAGTCCTGTCAATAGTACTTAATATAAAAAAAAACTCATGAATAACACCCCTAATACTAAGGTTTTTTGAAGTGACATTTTTCGCTTACATTTGATTTGGGTTGAATATGGTAGGGTGTACTTATTAAACTTACATGTCAGGTTGGAGTACGTCTGGTAAATTGGCATGCCCATATTGTGCATCTGATACTTCGCATCGTCGGTTATCTCATGGGTCTAAAACATGTTATTTGGGTCATAGAAGATTTTTACCGTCTGACCACGTATGGCGTAATCAACGAAGCCAATTTGATAATACAAGGGAAATAAGACTTGCACCCAAGAGACCATCTGGTGATGATGTGATAAATGAACTTGGTGAATTAAGAGAAATAACATATGGCAAGGATGGGAAAAAGCATACAATACTTGGGTTTGGAAAAGATCATAATTGGAAAAAACATTCAATATTTTTCCAATTGCCTTACTGGAAAACACTTTTGGTGCGTCACAATTTAGATGTCATGCATATTGAGAAAAATGTATTTGAGAATGTGATTGGCACTATGATGAGCATTGATGGTAAAACAAAAGATTCTTTAAATGCTCGTCTTGATCTTCAAGAAATGGGTATAAGACACAGGTATCATCCAGAAGAAGGAGATAATGGTAAGCTCTATTTTATCCCAGGCGATTATACATTGTCAAATGATGATAACAAAGCTTTATGTCAATGGTTAATGGAGTTGAAAGTTCCAGATGGGTACTCTGGAAATTTATCTCGATGTGTGAATGCTTCAGAGCGTAATATTTATGGTATGAAAACTCATGATTGTCATGTGTTCTTAGAGAGATTACTTCCGTTTGTGGCGCGAGATTTATTGCCCAAAGATGTAAGTGAGCCTTTAATTGAATTATCGTACTTTTTCAAGGAATTGTGTGCTAAAGTTTTAAGAGAAGATGACTTGAATCTTCTTGACAATCAAATTGTCATAACTCTATGCAAGTTGGAAAAAATATTCCCTCCTGCTTTTTTTGACATCATGATTCACCTAACTTGCCACTTGGCATGGGAGGCAAAAGTGGCCGGTCCAGTACAATTCAGGTGGATGTATCCTGTGGAAAGGTAATCTCAATGTTTAGATATTAATTTTATTCATGATTTGTTTAACTGCTGATGTATGATTCTCTAATTTTGGTATTTATAACGTAATTAGGTATTTGCATAAGCTAAAGACTTATGTTCGTAATAAGGCTCATCCAGAAGGGTCTATTGCCGAAGGTGTCTTGGGAGATGAGTGTTTAATATTTTGCTCTCGCTATTTGCATCGAGTTGAAACTAAGTTTAATAAAAGAGATAGAAACAACAATGGAGGTCAACCGTCATATGATACATCTCCGTTATCTATTTTCTCAACACCTGGTCGAGCTTTTGGGAAAGGTGTACTTAGAGAGATGAGCATCGAACTTCATAAGGCTGCCACTCATTATGTCCTGCAAAATTGTGATGAAGCTTTTCCATTTGTCCAGTAAGAATTCTTAAAGACTATAATTTCTAAGTGTATTTAATAAGTTACTATTTATTTAGATGTAATATGTCACTGTATTAATTTGAATATAATCATTTGTTATGTATGCAGAGAACATAAGAACATTTTAATCCAGTCTAGTGCTGATAATGTGGAGGAGTCACATAGGCTTCAATTTTCAAACTGGATTTCTAAAAGGGTATGGATAATATTGTATTCAAAAAATTATTGATTGTCATAGATGTTTATTTAAAAATATTTTTTCCTTTCTATGCAGGTCACAGAACTATACAACGATGGTAAAGTTAGTAAGCAAATGCTTTCTTTGGCTCGAGGTCCTGAAAGGCGAGTAACTTATTATCCTGGTTATTATATTAGTGGTTTTAGATTTCATACATTGCA